TTAAAATGTGCTAAGCAGATAAATACATGAATAATCTCTCAAGTGACAAAGTTTTGTATGCCAGCATGAAATAATTTCTCATTTTTCATGGACAAAAGTATTGTGAATTCCAATTAAATTTGCTGTGTTGGTCCAAGCCAATGAGAAACAAATTTCTTGTTCTTTTGAAACATAGCGCTCAAGAAAAGTCATTAATAGATTTCATTTCTTAGAATACTTTTTTACAGGCGCTTGAGCACTTGAAGAGAACGAATGCATTTACTTCGTGTATTACAGACAAATAGTATTCGGATATGTACGTACATGTACATTCACTTCTAATTGATCTCTAAACTTGGACAAGATATTAGCGTTTTTTTTAAGATATGCTTTACCAGTCCAACTAAAGATGAAAACCTAACAAATTTTAAATAACAGATTGGGGGTTTCACTGGTGAATTGATAAGTGCGACGAACGGCTGCATAAAATCAATATCACCAATATTTTTTTAAAGAATTTTACATTTTATAAGTAAAAGCACGTGTATACTTCAACATATTGTACAGTACTGAATTAGTCAGCATGTATTATACAGGCATACGACACGAGCTTGTTCATTAAAATGGTTCTACTGTAGCTGCGAGAACATACCTTCCAGAACCTTTTAACAAAGCTTGGGGCGATCTTTGAAGTAAGAGATAACTCGCCCCATGAAAGATCCATTGTACTGCTTCCTTTCGTAAAATAGCCGCACTTGTAGTTGTCTCATTAAAAGAAGTTCACCCGCGGACTTTGTGGAGAGGTGGTGGACCTTAACTCAGCGGAAAGATCGTTCCCGATGGGTATACCGAGAAGCTAAATAATAACCGTCACTGCCTGTTTTTCATTCTCTTTATGGGTACATGTACGCCATTTGCGATGAAGGATGGAGAATTGATGACTTCCGCCGCTGGCCCTTCTCCAAGAAGATCTCGATATGCCGCTTCCCGTGCAGAAGAGACCGGCGCCTTGATATTGTATTAATACCGGTACAATGTACAGTAGCCACATTGCCATCCGGGTCATCTTGTTGCCTTCAACATCAGCGGCTTGAGCTGCCGCCATCGTAATGGCTGCTAAAACAGACTGGCGTTGGCAAAGTGCCCTCGTAGCCACACACGTAAACTTGATACGACGACGGTGGCAATCCTTGCTTACACCGCCACGTGGAGCGAAAGGTCGCCCCTTCATGTCGCGGCAAGTGACTGCAAAAGCGCTGAAGTCGCGGAGAAGAGGATTGGCGACGATTTGATCATCGCCGCCAGAGCTGCGACGTGCTGCGCGTTTTGAGCGGAAACGACGATGTCTGCAGCGTCGTGAGAATGGGCAACAAAGCATACCAGCTCAAAGTATTGTGTATAATTTATATTATGGTGTGCTAAATATCTCAGAGCAGTCCCAGCGGCTGCGCGCCTCCTCTCTAATAATCGACGATGCTCGGGTAGTTGCTGTGCGGGGGACAACCACGCAGCGATCGAGGGAAAACTCGCTGCAGGCATGGGTTTCTTGCCTCAACCTTTGACTCTTCCTCCGACTGCTCGTCGCGTTTCCCTTCATCTTGTGACGCCCCTGTGGCAGCGGCCGTCGTCTTCTCTGTGTGTGTGCAACCTCTGCAGGCCACGTCATTCGGTTTTCCATCCGTATCCCTCCACCTCCTTCCCATGGCGACAGGGTAAAACCTCACTTGGCGGCCGAGAGCGGGGGCGCCGCGTGCGCGCCGTGCTGCTCGCGGTCCTTGCGGATCCAGGCGCTCTTTAGCAGGTCGATCTCTAGGTTGGTCTGCCACTGCTTCTTCATGGCGGCGTGGTCCTCCACGGTGGCGCCTTCAAAGGAGTGTGCGGACTTGGGCATGGCTGATGACTGTTGGGCTGTTGCTGAAACTCCAGGAATTGCAAGTGCTTTTGCTCGGTCGACGGCAAATTGCGATGTGAGCTGGAACGCGGAAAGCTCGGGCAGCGTCGCTCCTAACCACCCGCATGGTCGTCGCATCGTCGTAAACGTCCACACGTCAGACGGTGCGTACCTTCTAACCCCAACCCAGATGGAATCCAGGCTCAAACTCGAAGCGCTCCACAGCAAAACGGCGAGTGCGATGGCGACATTCTCATGCGTGCGCGGGTTGGGCTAGCGCGTGCGCGCTGGCACTGGTGTTTGCTGGCTGCATGGCTAATTCGGGGTGAACGCGCAAGGAGTGAAGGGCAGCGAACTGTCTTTTGAGGGGTGTTGAGGTCAGTAAATCAGAGTCCAGTTTGCGATGGATATCGACCATCATTCGGCGAGCCTATGCTACGGCATACCCAAAATTAGCCCGAAACCGGACTGCAATTGTTGCCTTTGCAAAAATGACAACTCAAGTCGCAGTCGTAGGTCGTCGAGACATGGCTGCGCTCGGCTTCCTGAATCGTTATTCGCTTGGCAACACAGACTGTTAGCTCATCGAGGCCGTATCGTCGTCGTGGCAGCTTCAACTTCGCGGGAGCGCGAGGCAAATCGCCCGGGTTGTATGCACCTCTAATTTACTTTAAGAAGCTTTAAAAGTGTGGGTTGCCTCTTGTGGCTCGATGATTGAGGATAGTTGCCGACCCAGACTTGATTTTCAGTGCCAGTAAAATGGGGTTCTCTGCGGGGCCCGTAAAAAATGCAGCGATTGATGGAGGTGGTGCGTATCGATCGACTCGCATGACCATAGATGACGGCCGACTGAGACGGCGGCGGCCACGAGGGCACGACGCACGAACACGCCGACCAAGCTCCCGGCCGCTGCGAGCGAACGGCGGGGTGCCATTTGGTGGGGCCATTGCGGGCAATACGTGGCCAGAGCACTGCCGCGTCGACTCAGCAGCGACACAGGGCCGCCGGCTCTGACGGCACGCCAACGCCATATGCCGCTACCGTCTTACCCCGCATATAAGGCATATGTGTTCTAAATAAATTCGCTTATTTGACCACCTATCTAATTAGAACACAAGTGTAAAACACAAGGCTGTACCAACCAATGAA